TTTTTTTAATAAAGCTATTTATATACCGATAGGTCTAACAGTTTATTTTGTAAATACTAGAGATCAGTTTTTTGAAGAAAGCAGTTCATTTGTTAATAAGCGAAGTTAAAGAACTAAAAAAAGCTTCCTGACCTCCAACTCCAAGCATACAAGAACAAAGTAACAATGTCTATAATTATCAAAGCGACGAAGGCATTAAAACCACTGGTACTACCGGATTATTATTTTCACTAAAGGACTGTGGACTAACAGACCTGGAAAATGAAACGAATGATAATCGTTTTACCAACAATGCTGGTAACAATTATCGAACCACCACAAACAACTATCAATATAGCAATACCACCACTGACAATGCCGGTAACAGTACTATCACCCCCCAAAATGGTACCAATAGTCCTAATAATGCCACCAGCAATAGTCTTACCATTACTGATATTGCACTCACAACCACCACTACTGATATTGCACCTGCAACCACCACAGCAAATGCATCCACAATTACCGTATCAAACAAAGGTAAACAGAAGCAGCAAGCTGGTGGTAATAACAATAATAATCGGCAAAAACCAACAGTATCTCCAGAACCACCTACTGGTTACCAAAAAAGGTCACATGAAATCTTGGAAGAAATGGATAAAGAGCAATATAAATTGTTTTATATATGTATTAGCATTTGAAAATCAAATTTATATTAAAAGTAATTATAAAGCTATCGGTTTAATGAATATTTATTTTAATGTGCAGGATGAGGTGGTTCAAATAACAGATGGCCTTGATGAAAGATTATGTATGGATTATACAAAAAATTAGAGTGAAATAGCTCGCTACATGGCCACAAAAACTATGCCAGCAATTGGGAAGGCTCTAGAGGGCAATTTTAGATATAAATTGAGTGAATTAAAATACGTCCTAAAAAGCCTTCACCGATATCGTCGGGAAAAATGAATAATCGATAATAATCCCAAGAGATTAGCAAAAAATAAAAAGAGGGTAGGCATAAACGGTAGGTGTCAATCAGTATGTATAGGCCTATTCATTTAATTGAAATAAGTTTTGGGCACTTTGCAAGTTGTTATATTTGTATTATACAAAAATCTATTCTGATTACTACAAGCATCGAAAATACAAATATAATAACTTGCAACAGTATAATAGGAATAAACTACTGATCAACTGATATTAATTACTGTTATTCTAGAAAAAAAATAGAAGAATCAGAGGCATACACTATATGCTTAATACCAAAGATAAAAATCTCGCTGATCTTGGCTCTTCTATGAGTTGAGACGATTTTAAAGAAGACCTTGAAGATATTGTTAATGATGATGAATACTATTCAGATGAAATATCTGAAACCGATTATGAAAAATCACAAGCCAAACATCGAATGAAGGTTCGTCCAGAATCTAAAAATGAAAATAACTATCATGTGTTTTATGTGTATGATAAGCCTTGGAGATCACGTAGGGTAAGCAATTGTTATTGTTATGGTTATTATAATTATAATTATATTAATTTACATTTTTTATTTCTTTATTCTATGTAAATCAGGTGAAAAAGATTTTGCGACTTGCTGATGAAGTGGAAGAAAAAATTTCGTATATTAAATGTACCAGAAAATGATGGCTCAATTACAGCAGATGGTTTGACAAATCTAAACCGCCAGTTGATGCTCTTATTTGGGCCATTTCTTCTTCTTACCATTCTGACGAAGAAGAAGAAGAAATGGAAAAATTAAAAGAGACGAATATTACAAAAATACTGCTGCAAGCAGCAGCTGAGCTACCGATGTAACTGAAGTTTTCAATAAAAGAACTGAAGAAGGTGATACTGGTACCAGTGCTAATAATGAAGTAGTCGATTGATTTTTAGAATAGCATTAAAAAAAATATAATCAATCAAATTTATTGATAGCTTTAATATATAGCTACATTGATAATTGCTTTTAGCATAGCGATATAAATATATGTATATATATAATAAAAATTATGCTATTGCTATAGTAAATATATTTAGTCATCTATTACTTTAAAATTTCTAGTCTGACTTTAATAAAAACTACAGAATTGAGTTCGATAATAGAAAATCAAATCAAAAACTGTATCAGAAATCAGTATACATCTGTAATTAACCCGATAGGTTTCTGAAATTTATCTGGTTATTTGTAATATAGTAAAATTAGAAGGTCTATCGGAAAATTAAAATGTCTATCAAAAATGCCGATATGACTATGATATAAGTTTAGAATAACACTAATAGGTTCCTGAAATTAGCCAAAGTTCTGTCAAATATAGTAGCCGAATTGGTAAAATATCAGTTACGTTTACCGGACTACTATCATAGCCATATCGGTAAATTTTCGGTAACTATCGGCATTCTGATACTTCTCCGGTATTTCTTTGTTCGACCTGTGAACTCAATAAAAAAAACACAATAAAGATTAGAAAAAAATATAACAAACTAGAAAGAATACAATAAAAGATTAAAAAAAGTAATAAAACATTAGAATGGAGCAATGCAATATTAGATAACGAAATGAAAAGATTGTAAAAAAGGCGCAATGGAAACTGCAATATTATATGTAATTGATCAATCAAATAATGTTTAATTTGAATTTTGACGAACGTTTTAACTAGTCCCAAATATACAACGCAATTGTAAAATTCGCACGGGCCTAAAAATTTAAACTGTGCCGGCCGCTTTTTATGTTTTAACCTTACCAAGCCCACAATTTTGAAAGGTTTTTAGAATTTTTAAATTTTGGCCTGGCCCGGCCTCTATCCCAAACTACCGGGTTTGGTATACATCGATAGAGTTAATGTCACTTTATCAAAATAAGTTTCGGCATGTGCTTCGGCAGTTTGGGTATTAATAACTCAACATTTTATCTATGAAGCCACCTTCTGCACATTAACAAAAGTCTTGCAAAATTTTGGTGCTACTAAACTCTTCATAACCTAAATTAATAGCAAAAATCTAATACTAATCTAGCAGCGAAATTGTTTAGGTTGGTAACGCTAGGACAGTTGGTATAAGCCCGTTATGAAATAACAGAAGACAAAAATATGCAACAAATCGTTACACGATCGAAATATTTTAACGTTAATAAAAGATAAAATTTTAATTAAGAAAATAAACATAACTTTGTTCGTTTACTATTTAATAGAGATTTGGTTTGTAGCCATTTTAATTTTCAACTAATAAGCTTTTAAAAATCATGTAATTTATTCGCTGACTTAAGGACATTTGCATTACAATAATCCCGTAATTCCATACCTAAATAAAGCTATCGTCATTGTCTTCGTCTGTATATTGACTCACAGAATCGTGTCTCTTCAATGACTCATAAAATGCCTTCACTTTCTCATGTGCAGTGACCTTTGAAGGACGAAAGTTCAATACTTGGAGAGAAGTGGTGGATGTTGCTCGGGAGAGGGCCACATATGCTTGACCTTAACATGAAAGTAATTAATTCGTTACAAAAAATAATCAATCCACTTTTTATAATCACGCCATACTAACCTCTCTCAAATACACGCCCAAGATCAATTTTAACACGATCCAAAGTTTGACCCTGACTTTTATGAATACTTATCGCCCATGCAAGAATGAGTGGGATCTAAAGGGTGAAATAAGGTTAACGATTCTTAAATGGTTTGACGTAAAATTTATTATTATGTACCTGTTTACGTGATGCCAATACTGTTTTTCCTCCATTTCCAGGTATAGTCCATTCTTGAGGTTCAACAACAATCTTTTGGTTCGAATCCGTAAATCGCACTATCGGAAGTAAGTCGTTTATTTCGAGCCCTTCTTCTTCCCCTTTAAAATAATCTTGACCAGTCGAATTAGAGTGATATCCTATGACAACTCCTCTGCTTCCATTAACAAGATTATAATCTTTCAGATTTTTAATAAGCATGACCTGAGCATCCCGTTTAAGTTTTAGTTCTTGTGGGGCCAAACAACTCTTTACAAGCATACGGAGTTGTCCAATCCTCATAGGTTCCCAATCAATCGCAAAAAATGAATGAGATTTATGCGGAATCTTGTCTAACTGTATAAGATTGGCACTGTTCACATTATCATTTCTCGGATATCTGCAAGAATCAGTAAAAATAAACCAAAACTGCTAAATAGAATTGTAATAAAGTATACATTCTACAATGACATTGCTTACAATTCCGTAGGTTTGATACCATCGTCTGGATATTGCGGTTCATTTTCTAATCTCGCAATAAGTTCCGAGAAACGTTCTGACACTTTCCCAGTTCTCATATCATTTAAAAGTTCGATGAGTTCTGATTGAATAATATTTCACCTTAGAACTTGCTTAATTGATAAATAAAGCTAGTTATTATGAGAAATATTACCATTATCTTTTTGACGGAATACTCGCGTTAATTGGATAGTATGCTTAACGGCAGTTTTCCACGTTTGTGCTTCAAAGGAGAATTTAGCAACCGATCTATTATCCTTCGATATTGGAGGCAATTGGAAGAAATCTCCCGTGATAATCAGCTACAAAATAATTCTCTCATTTAGAATTCTTTTATTATAATTATAATATATGCTATTAAATCGATTGCTCACCTGTATCCCTCCAAACGGTCGTGTGTTGTTCTTGATATTTCGCGCAATTCCTTCAAGTGTATCAAACAATTCTCCATCGAGCATTGAAACTATCGTTAACAAAAAAAAAAAAATTTATTATAAATAAATTACTATTATACTGCAATACAAATAAAAATCACGTACCTTCATCTATGATCAAGACATTACAATCTGTCCATCTCTGACGAGCTGACCTGTTATCACGAACTTTTTTAATAAGTTCTTGTGTAGTCCCTTGGCCAAGACCAATTCCAGCAAAGTAATGTAAAGTTGTGCCTCCAATGTTGAGAGCAGCTAGCCCTGTGGTCGCAGTAACCGCCACAGCATCATTACCGGTCATATTCTTGAGAGTAGTAATAATTTTTTGTAGTAGCATACTCTTTCCGGTACCTTTTGTTTAAAAACAGGATCTGATTATTTAATGTGGTATTTACGATTTTAGATGATTTATAAGCGTACCAGCAGATCCAGTAAAGAATATGCTCTCTCGTTTAACGACAGCCAATTCATAGACTTCGCGTTGCTCTTCAGTAAGCGTTGAATCTTCTGGTAGACAACCACTTTTTACGTCCTTTATACCAGTATTACGCTGCAATTCAAACCATCTTTCTTTCGTTTGATCATTCCAATCTTCGTCGTCAGACATTGGCCTCACATCCTCAAAGCCATCGTCTTGACTTGTTTGTATTAAGATTTTAGAGACTGTTTTATGAGAGTTTGACTGAAAATAAGCGGATTCTCTCAACACTGTATATTCTGGTTTCTTTCTCTTAATAACGCGTACAGGTTGTTCCGTATTGTCATCTGTAAACGAGGAAGCAGGCGCGAAGCCAGGAAGACTGTCAAGTCTTAAGTCTGGTTTTGACGTGCTTGCCTTATTGCGTTGTGATTCCAAAAATCTCTTTTTTGTAATTGGCTCACAATCACCGCCAGACGGTACAGCTTTTCTTTTTGTTTTAGGCATTTTTTTTTTTTTTGATAAGCGGAACGTGAGTATTCGCGTAATCAAACGGATCAACATTACATTATGGCTTTAATACTGTAATACAGTAACACGTGTTACTTCAAAGTGCGAGTCATGTGACTATGAAATTAGAGTCCGCGTAATTACACGAACCAAGCGTCGCTAAGGTGATTATAAAATCGGCAAATCAAATCATAAGTAGGGTTTTTATTATTGAGGATTTTTTATTGTTTTCTTTATTACTGCAATATACCATAGATTTTCGTTGGTTTTATGTTTGTCAAATTTACTAATAACAATATAAATCGAAAAGATGGTTCTATTACATTGAATATACAATTTGCTCTGTCTTTAAAAAAATTAGAGACCATTAATTATATCGACATTTTTGAGACATTAGTAAAAATTTTCAAAATGTCGATACAGTGAGTTATATTGACATTTTATATTAAAATTTGAAAAAAAAAGTCAGTATAGAAATATTTTGCTATGATGTCGGTATAACCAGAGTGACGTGTATTATCCGCATTTCAAAAATATTTGTCGCCAAGGGAAAAGGCACGAAACCCAAAGATCGGTGTTTCAATTATTTTAATTAAATGAATTCCGATAGTTTTATTTTGTAGAACAGATAATTGCATAATTATACAACTTTTATTGAATCGACATCCGATTTACTGTCACGTGTGTACCCAGCCACCACTGAACGACCGGAGAGTCTACGGACACGTACCAATCACGTGATATTTAGCATTATGGACACGTACCGATTACGTGATATTAATTATTACATAATTATTTTATGAAGTAACAAACTCAAACAAAAAATGTATTTTTCATAATAAATTATCAAAGACTTCACTTTAATTATTCATATCAATCAATCCAAGCTGCGTACAATAAGGCACGTTGACATAATAATTGAAAATGACTTATTGTCTGATGATAAGGCGATTCAAAACCTGTTAGATCTTTTTTGACAAGATAATTTTAACATCCTTACCCAGGATTCACAACGATAGCTGTAAGTCGAAAATCTGAAATGAACGATATGAATTTTAGATAATTTTTAAATATAAAAATGAAAATGTCAAATTTTTTATGTCAAACGATGATGTTGCAACCAATATCGGCATAAAATTTGTAACGAGTTTCTTTAGAATTTTATATTTGACAATGCTAATATCGATTAATTTGTCTTTTTTTATATGTAGTGAACATTAAAAGCCACATAGTCTACTTTGAAAACCAGCCAATAGACCGTGCTATGGATCAGTTTATAGACTGATCTTTAGGACCAAGACTGGGCTGAGTCATCCTATAATAAGTCATTTTCAATCGCTGTCTTATTGTATGCAGCTTGGATTGATTGATTAGTTAATTAAAGTGAAGTCTTCGATAATTGCACTTTTATTTGAGTTTGCCACTTCGTAAAAAATAGTTATGTAATAAATTAATATCACATGATCGGTACGTGTCCATAAGGGAAAGTCTCCGGACACTTACCAACCATTTAGTAGTTCATGTGATTTTGCACTTACCATTAGGGTTAGATTAGCTTTGATTGGTTGGTTCATATTTGGTAAGTACAAAATTACGTGAATTGTAAGTGTTCGGAGACGAAAATTCTACGGACAGAGCTTAGGGACAGAACAAAATCACATGAATAGTTAGTTATTGGTTAGGATAAGAGGAATTTTAATAATATCACGTGAGTTTGTTCTGTCCAGTTCTGTCCCTAAGCTCTGTCCGTAGAATTTTCGGTTCAGAGACTTTCCCTGTCCATAATGCTAAATATCACGTGATCGCTACGTGTCCGTAGACTCTCCGCTGAACGACCCTAGCGTTGCCTTCAAAAATAATAGCAGACAGATCTGCTGGGTACATGTTATTAGGGTTCCAAACCGGATTGAAAATCTTTACCCATAACCCGTCGGGTCAAACACTTTCATCAACCGGGTACCCGAAATTAAAACCGGATACCCGATTAAACCGGGTTATCTAGTTATCTGGTTCTATCACACCCGAAAAATTTGGTACTAAAAGACAATTAGACGAACTATCACTATGAATTCAGCATGAACATATTCTTGTTTGACTTTTTAATTGACTTAAATATATTTTTATAAATTATAAAAAAATTAAAATTTACTATCGCAA